TTATTTTATCCGATTGATTGGATTATTGCACTTGTAATTTTCCTGGTGTAAAATGGACCAAGCCATTTCTCTTTTGAAGAAAGCATGATGCTTCCTCAAGCTGTGGACCTGTAGTATACAGAGAAGTGTCACTAATTTTATAGTTAACGAAACATATCTGCGCTTAACTTCTGTCTGAATTTGCGCGAACGTCCGCCGCTTACACATTATCAAAACTAATCTACATTGTCAAATCATCAAAATCTTGCCGCCAAGCCACACCTACTAGCTTGTGCGTGGCACCACTGGGATGGCTACGCGTTACCCTAGTACCGTAGTCGACTATCCGTCACTATTATTCCGTTAACATCCCCGACCTCTCGTACCGTTAACATTCCTGGCCCCTCTTTACGTTAACATCCCTGACTGTGACAATACGCGCGGTGACTTCAGAATATCTTTCCTCAACCTACTTTTATTTGTATGTATTTTGAAGTATACAGACAAATAGGGATTTGGATACATCCTTAATCTAAGTAGGCGAAATGAACAAGCATTTAATTCTCCTGGGATGTTGGCGATATCACACACTAAAACTGTTTCCCAGACGTTAAGTGTTGAGGTACAGAGATAAGACTGACCAAGCAGACTTACTGACTGGAGATTTGCACACCATCTGTTGGTGTCAGATATTTCATCTCCTAGCCAGACTTTTAGGAGCAGCTAACTCCGGTTAATTGTGTTTAATTCCCCCTGAGGTTACCTAACTCACGGCAGGTCCGACGGTCACTATTGACATGGTGAGCAGAAAGTGTTAACAGAAGGATTGACACCGTCTGATTTTATTGTGATGGCAGGTGAAGTAGACTGGAGGTGTGACTAGGCCTATTAGCTTTGACCAGCTTAATTGAACCAGGAGATCCTAGCGTGGGAATTTAAATAAGTGTTGTACAGCCCTGACTGACAGCGAATAAACTTACCCACAGGGGAGGAGCTGTGATACCCGTGAATGAAAAGGATTTTAGGCGTAATGTAGGAGGAGCTTGATAAAAGTTATAAAGTGGTGAACGCTAGGTCTGGTAAATGAGATCTTGTCTAGCACATGCCATCTGTTGGGCTTAACCTAAGCTTGAGACAGAACTTTTGGCATCGTGGTTTCATTTTTCCAGTTCCCACATTGGGCAGGGACTAGTAGGCATCCATTATTTGCCGACCGTCGAGTGTAACGACCTGCAGAAAGCAGTGAGGACGACAAACTGGAAAAGATAGGCAGGGTCTCAAGCCGAGAACTGTCCTGACGGTGAATTCTCCTACTAGGAGTTAAGTATATGTACAAACTGTCATCATTCACATCATTCCAACTCTACTAGCATAAACAAGTTCATTTTATTTTAGTCAGATTTATTAAATAAATCATGTGTGATGTTTAAACATAGTCGAGTAAATTGTGTACTTAGGTTCAAGTGTCTTTGTGCATATTAGTTTACTTCAGCTAACAAATATTTAAATCACTTGATGGGGGCTTTTAAGTAATGCCAGGAGAGGAGAGCAGTCGGAGGGGTTAAATGAGCACCTGGATTATTTCATAGTGGGTGTATCCAGAAATCTATCTATCCCTTCTCCTACTCCTGTGGATACAAGTACAGCAACTTTCATTTCATGGAACGAGCCACTCGCTGTTTTCTTGGCTATCCAGGACTGTCTAGGATCAACATAGCTTAGATAATAGTCCAGTTTCTCACGTGGGTGGGCATTGTTAAGGTTCAAACCCACACCCTCACTATATCAGTGTATTTACCCACGTGGGCGCGCGACACTGACCTCTCGTGGCGTTAACATCCCTGACCTCTCGTACCGTTAACATCCCTGACCTCTCGTACCGTTAACATTCCTGGCCCCTCGTTACGTTAACATCCCTGAACTCTCGTGGCGTTAACATCCCTGACCTCTCGTACCGTTAACATCCCTGACCTCTCGTACCGTTAACATCCCTGACCTCTCGTACCGTTAACATCTCTGACCTCTCGTGGCGTTAACATCCCTGACCTGTCGTACCGTTAACATCCCTGACCTCTCGTACCGTTAACATCCCTGACCTCTCGTACCGTTAACATCCCTGACCTCTCGTACCGTTAACATCCCTGACCTCTTGTACCGTTAACATCCCTGACCTCTCGTACCGTTAACATCCCGGACCTCTCGTACCGTTAACATCCCTGACCTCTCGTACCGTTAACATCCCTGACCTCTCGTACCATCAACATCCCTGACCTCTCGTACCGTTAACATCCCTGACCTCTCGTACCATCAACATCCCTGACCTCTCGTACCGTTAACATCCCTGACCTGTCGTACCGTTAACATCCATGCACTCTTAGAGCCCAGACCCGTATCTGTTGGAGGAAACAAGGAAATATCACAAATAGATATTGGTCTGGGTTGTGCCGGGCTAGTGTGAGTTGTACCGGGCTAGTGTGAGTTGTACCGGGCTCTTATCGTGACAGTTCGTGCTGAGATGTCCAGTGAGAGTTCTTATTTCACCATGTTTACACTCTGCCTCTAACTTAGGCTGCTCGTTCTACAATGTTTCCTGTGTAGAGATCTCTCATCTCCATGTTGAAGTGTAGAAGAGAAACGGTTAGAAGCCCAGTCCACGTCCTTCTCTATTGAAAATCTTGTATATCCGCTTCACAATATCCACTTGTAGATTTGTAATACGAATTCATTCAGAACACAGAACTTTGTAAGCACATTAAAATGTCACACAATGCGAAGGGCTTACACTGACCAGTTTTCGAGGGACTCCATCCAAAAAGTTACGTGATTTAGTTAGATAGCGTAATCTAGAGAAGGCGGTGCCCAGTCTAACAGATCTCTGTCAGAGGGACAACCCGGCTTCAGTATACAAGGCAGGCTATCTGAGCTGTGGAGATTCTTGGTATAATCTCTGCAAGCATTCTTCCCTCTAATGTCGTGATTATCCTAGGGCAAAGAAAAGAAGAAAAAAACGCTAATCTGTTAAAAGAAAGACAGTCCTGGGGGAGGGGGGGGGGTGCGAGCGATACAGAGAGAGAGAGAGAGAGAGAGAGAGAGGTAGAGAGAGAGAGAGAGAGAGAGAGAGAGAGAGAGAGAGAAAGAGAGAAATACCTGCTCGAGTGAGTGCCGCAGCTTATGTGTATGATGATGATTATAATGATGATGATGATGTATTTATATATGATATTTAAATGACTAATATCTGCCCAGATTTTGTGCATTCGGTTAGACACATGGTAGGGCCAAGTCAAGTCATCAAGGTGTCGTGTGGTTTCCCCAATCAGACTCCGACAGGCAGAGATAGATCAAGCCTCATCATTGTGGACTTTTCTACCTTGAAAAATCTCAACCTGGTCTATCTATTTTATGTGGGGGGGGGGGGGGCGACCCAGAGCAGTTCGTGGGAGGCGGGGGGGGGGGGTCGACCCAGAGCACTTCGTGGAAGGCGGGAGGGGGGGGGGTCGACCAAGAGCAGTTCGTGGGAGGGGGGGGGGGGGGGGTCGACCAAGAGCAGTTCGTGGGAGGCGGGGGAGGGTCGACCCAGAGCAGTTTGTGGGAGGCGGGGGGGGGGGGGGGTCGACCCAGAGCAGTTTGAGGGAGGCGGGGGGGGGGAGAGGGGGGCATCTTGACTGTTTCAATTAAAAAAATTAAAGTTCTCGGTAGCGTTCAAGCAATTATTAAGTGCTTTCGCTTATAACTGTGGTAATTATGAGGCAATCGATATCAAAATTTGCAGTTCAAATAGGCGTTTTTTTCTAATGTCATATGGTGCTTTCTGATGTCAGGTGGGGTTCTTCTCGAACATGTTCGTGTCGGCTGTCTACGGATAAATCTACTGTTTATATCGCGGGGCTTGGTTCCTTCCCAGCAGGGATCAGTCTCTATCCCGACACATTTGGCAGGCTACTTCCCTTGATCTGACTGACTCTCCGGTCTCACCCTCTTGCCGCTTCCTCCTGGCCGTCGGCTCGCCGTCTGAGGCACCTACAGAACCCAATCACACGTGAGGGTTGAACCTGAATCAGTCTCACCGACAAGACAAACACGAGATAGAAATGACTCTGGCATGTCTCTGATACATGTGTCCGGCGCTATGGATGATGTAGGGGACTGGCTTGTGTTGACTGTTGATGGATACAGGTGTCTGGCGCTATGGATGATGTAGGGGACTGGCTTGTGTTCACTGTTGATGGATACATGTGTCCGGCGCTATGGATGATGTAGGGGACTGGCTTGTGTTGACTGTTGATGGATACATGTGTCCGGCGCTATGGATGGTGTAGATAAGTGGCTTGTGTTGACTGTTGATGGATACATGTGTCCGGCGTTATGGATGGTGTAGATAAGTGGCTTGTGTTGACTGTTGATGGATACATGTGTCCGGCGCTATGGATGGTGTAGGGGACTGGCTTGTGTTGACTGTTGATGGATACATGTGTCCGTCGCTATGGATGATGTAGGGGCTATGGTGGCTTGTGTTGACTGTTGATGGATACATGTGTCCGGCGCTATGGATGGTGTAGATAAGTGGCTTGTGTTGACTGTTGATGGATACAGGTGTCCGGCGCTATGGATGATGTAGGGGACTGGCTTGTGTTGACTGTTGATGGATACATGTGTCCGGCGCTATGGATGATGTAGGGGACTGGCTTGTGTTGACTGTTGATGGATACATGTGTCCGTCGCTATGGATGGTGTAGATAAGTGGCTTGTGTTGACTGTTGATGGATACAGGTGTCCGGCGCTATGGATGGTGCAGGGGACTGGCTTGTGTTGACTGTTGATGGATACATGTGTCCGGCGCTATGGATGGTGTAGATAAGTGGCTTGTGTTGACTGTTGATGGATACATGTGTCCGGCGCTATGGATTGTGTAGGGGACTGGCTTGTGTTCACTGTTGATGGATACAGGTGTCCGGCGCTATGGATGGTGTAGATAAGTGGCTTGAGTTGACTGTTGATGGATTTTTTTATTCTTTTCCCAGATCAAAGATGGCTCTTGCATGCTGAGTAAGAAGTCCGGAAGTGACGTGGGTCAGCTGTTCAACCAAGGCTTGGTGCAAGTGCATCATTTCGAGATGAAGCCCGCCCTAGGTGCGTTTCTACACGTGTCTTCTTCTTTCTCATTGTTGCTGCTGTTTTTAATGGGCCTTATTGTATTTGTCAGTTTTTGCTTTTTGGTGTTACTGTTGCTGCTGTCCTAATTATTGGTATTTTCGTTTTTATTTCTGATTGCATTGGGAAAAAAATGATGTGATGAGGAAGGTGGTGATAATAATGTTGATAAATGATCAGTTTTAGTGAAGCCGGGGATTTTCATGGTGGTGATAGTCGTGTTGATGAATGTGATAGTTGTGATGATGATGATTCTGGAAGTAGTGGTGATAGTGGCAGTAGTGGTGGTAGTGATGGTGATAGTGGCAGTAGTAGCGGTGGTACTAGCGATGGTAGTAGCGGTCGCAGTAGCGGTGTTAGTAGTGGTGGTAGTAGCGATAGTAGTAGCTGTGGTAGTAGCGATAGTTGTAGCGGTGGTAGTAGCTATAGTAGTAGTGGTGGTAGTAGCGATAGTAGTAATTAAGGCTAATAAAATATTAATGACCGTAGTGATAGTGATAGTGATAGTTACAGCAGAAGTAGTAGTAATTGTGGTTATGATTCCGGCGGTAGTAGCAGCAGAGTAGGTGATAATTATGACCATGACGCCGTCATTCACGATAACGACGATAACGGGGTTAGCCAGTACTGTCCAGTCATTGAAAATGGCACACCATTCTGCAGGATCGGTGTAGTCTCATATTAAACAGACATGACAAGGTATTAGCGAAATCTTGATAGTTCACATAACAGCTGATGAGTGAAGAAAACTGTTGAGCCCAAAGTAAAGTAAATGTTTCTGTCTTTTGCCAGACTGTGGAGGAATTATAACCGGAGTGTCTGGGGACTTTGCCAGCCCTGGCTGGCCGAGGAACTACAGTCACCATCTCAACTGTACCTGGACAATTCGTGTGCCCGAACATCAGGTGAGAATCATGTCTAGTTGACCATCCGAACATCAGGTGAGAATCCTGTCTAGTTCACCATCTGAACATCAGGTGAGAATCATGTCTAGTTCACCATCTGAACATCAGGTGAGAATCCTGTCTAGTTCACCATTTGAACATCAGGTGAGAATCCTGTCTAGTTCACCATTTGAACATCAGGTGAGAATCCTGTCTAGTTCACCATCAGAACATCAGGTGAGAATCATGTATAGTGGTTGTTTAGCACGCTTGTGATCCCAGCTGCTAGACAGTAAAAGTCCACTAATCACGTGATGTGATCAGAATCACAGCGGCCGCCTTCACTTCCTGTCGCGCGCCCACGTGGGTAAATACACTGAAATAGTGAGGGTGTGGGGTTGAACCTTAACAATGCCCACCCACGTGAGAAACTGGACTATTATCTAAGCTATGTTGATCCTAGACAGTCCTGGATAGCCAAGAAAACAGCGAGTGGCTCGTTCCATGAAATGAAAGTACTTGTATCCACAGGAGTAGGAGAAGGGATAGATAGATATCAGGATACACCCACTGTGATATTATCTCGATACACAGTTAACCCCTGCGACTATTCTCCTCTCCTGGCATTACTTAAAAGCCCCCATCAAGTGATTTAAATATTTGTTAGCTGAAGTAAACTAATATGCACAAAGACACTTGAACCTAAGTACACAATTTACTCAACTATCATGAAACTCATCACACATGATTTATTTGAATAAATCGAAATTAAAATGAACTTGTTTAGGCTAGTAGAGTTGAAATGATGTGAATGATGAAATCATAAAGGTATTGGAAAGTAACAACCTTTGGACAGTTCTCGGCTTGAGACCCTGCCTATCTTTTCCAGTTTGTCGTCCTCACTGCTTTCAGCAGGTCGTTACACTCAGACGGTCGGCAAATAATGGATGCCTACTAGTCCCTGCCTAATGTGGGAACTGGAGAATGAAGAAACAAGCGCATATTTGTAGTATCTGCTCTAGATGTACACTAAGCATGTATATTATACTAACATCAAGCATGTTTATTTAAATAAAACATTTTATCTCTCCCTCATGCTCACATTCACTCCTGTCCAATTTGGAAGGGCTTATGTCTCACATTCCAACTGTTACATCTTTTGCCTTCCTCTACACGTCCTGTAATGATAGTCAAGTCTTCTACGTCAGGTGCCATCTCTCGTACAGACTCAAAATGACAATCAGTCAGACGGAACCAGTTCTGGAATCTATGCTTGGAACAATCGACGCGCCCAGAATGCTAACAATAGTTCTGGGGCTAGATTAACATGGAGAAAACACATCAACAAGGCAGCAACCAAAGCCAGAAGGAGGGTAGCCATTCTGAGAAAACTATGTGGAACCACATGGGGTGCTAGCGGGAAAATACTTAGAAAAGTTTACCAACAAAGTGTTCGACCACATCTTGAATACGGATCAACAGCATGGAGTTCGGCATCAAAAACCACATTGCAAGAATTAGACAAAGTGCAAAATCAAGCACTCAGAGTTACCACAGGCAGTATGAAATCAACACCTATAGCTGTGATGGAGAAAATGGGGATGACCCAAGCACTGAGTGAACGCAGAGACACAAGATGCTTTTACATGCAGAAAAGTTTCTTAGTATGCCCAGTCACCCTATGAATGAAAGATTCAAAAATTTAGCTTTGGGACGACTAAAGAGAAGTAGTTTTATCCACCAGGCCAAACGGCTCGGCAGACAAACCACTGATTTACCTGCAACTGATAGATCCTTAAATGATGTCCCAGAACGGACCCCCTGGAGAGAGGAGTATAAGTTTCCAATACACATCAAGACTGAAGTGAAAGGGGTATTTGACAAGGAAGAACAAAACAGTGTGCAGCGCAAAACAGCCACCCTCAGTCTACTTGATGATGAATACCCGCAGAACCTTTGGGTCCGTGTTTACACAGATGGGTCAGCAGAAAGCGCAGTCAGAAACGGAGGTGCGGGAGTGTACATTGAGTATCCTAATAATACCAGGGATACAGCCAAATTACCAACGGGAAAGCACTGTCACAACTATGATGCAGAAGTTCAAGCCATCAAGATAGCCGCAGAGAAACTACTAAATACAGGGTATTTTTCACAACCAGTGGTATTCCTGACAGATGCAAAAGCAGTACTTCAGTCACTCCAGTCTGGAAAATTACCAAGCATACGGACACTATTATCCGAACTAGGCAACCGCTGTAAATTAGTAATGCAGTGGATACCTTCCCACTGTGGAGTTCCCGGAAGCGAAAAAGCTGATAAACTAGCTCAGGAAGGTGCAACTGAAAAACAACTTGACATACCAGTCTCTTATCAACAGAAGAAGAGAATAATCAAATCAATCAGAATGCCACCGAAACTGGCACAAGATGATTACCATATTATGGACAGACCAGAGCAAGTCATTATCCTTCGCCTTAGAACAGGGCACAATCGACTTCGCTCCCACATGTACAACAAATTTAAGATTGGCCAATCAGCCATGTGTACTTGTGGACTGGCACCTGAAACAACAGATCACATCCTTCAAGACTCTCCCAGATTCAACGCTTTTAGGCAAAACCTTTGGCCAAAAGAGACACTCGTGGAAGTCAAACTTTACGGGCCGCTTAGTGAATTACAAAAGACAGTGAAATTCATACTAGAGACAGCTTTGCAGATATAGACAATTTATTTCATGCGAACGAAAGAAGAAGAAGAAGAAGTTCTGGGGCGAATCAAATAACAAATCTCGTGGATTTACTCTCCGGGATCAATCTCCGCATTAGCCTCCCGAGAGTTAAACACATTTCAGTGTGTAAGCTGTATGTAATACAGATTCACATTAACCACACGTGAAAAGATTGCCAGAGTTATCTTCACGCTTGTGATTTCAAAAACATGATAGTTCATTAAATTTCAATGGCAACAACAACATTTAGGTTTTACAACATTGAAACACATGTGCCCGAAAAACATTCATGACACTATCAAATAGGATATAAAGCAATGTGACAGTGCCCTATGAGAATGAAGAAATGTCCGCCTAGGAGTTCTACAAAGTGATGAAGACACACTTCAGCAAAAAGACAGTTAGATCTCTATCATAAAATATAGATTTGAACCTAATTTCAATCTTACCTGGAAAATGAAACCACGATGCCAAAAGTTCTGTCTCAAGCTTAGGTTAAGCCCAACAGATGGCATGTGCTGGACAGGATCTCATTTACCAGACCTAGAGTTCACCCCTTTATAACTTTTATCAAGCTCCTCCTACATTACGCCTAAAATCATTCTCATTCAAGGATATCACAGCTCCTCCCTTGTGGGTAAGTTTATTCGCTGTCAGTCAGGGCTGTACAACACTTGTTTAAATTCCCACGCTAGGATCTCCTGGTTCAATTAAGCTGGTCAAAGCTAATAGGCCAAGTCACACCTCCAGTCTACTTCACCTGTCATCACAATAAAATCAGACTTTGTCAATTCTTCTGCCAACACTTTCGGCTCACTGTGTCAATATTGACGATCTGACCGGCACTCCAGTTTAGGTAAAATCAGGGGGAGATAATGGCAATTAGCCCTTGTTATCTGTTCCTGAAGATCTGGCAGGGGGAATAACTATCTGACACCAACAAATGGTGTGCAAATCTCCAGTCAGTAAGTCTGCTTGGTCAGTCTTATCTCTGTACCTTAACACTTAACATCTGGGAAAAAGTTTTAGTGTTTGATATGACCAACGGTCCAGGAGAATTAAAGGTTTGATGTGGTCGTCTTACTTAGATTAAGGATGTATCCAAATCCCTATTTGTCTGTATACTTCAAAATACACACAAATAAAAGTAGGTTGAGGAAAGACATTCTGAAGTCACCGCGCGTATTGTCACACTTCCCATGACTTTACCTGGTACCTATTTAAGGCTGGGAGCCAAGGTCATATTTGAAAAAAGAAGTCAGGCTCAATGAGGACCTGAATCCACGACTTTCAGATCTGTTCTTCCAGTTTTTATTTATTTCGATATCTACCCGTCGCTGTCTACAAATAACCAGGGCCTTTTGATGCAAAGACGGGTGCCAGCACTCACCAGAAAGTATCTAAAAAGATGCCAGCACACAGCAGAAAATATCTAACACGGTATCAGTTCACAGCAGAAAGTATCTAAAATGTGCCAGTACACAGCAGAAAGTATCTGGAAATGTGCCAGTACACTCCAGAAAGTATCTAAAAATGTGCCAGTACACGGCAGAAAGTATCTAAAACAGGTGCCAGTACACGGAAGAAAGTATCTTAAAAGAAAGTTTTATCACAGCAGCATTGAAAAAACTGACACCTAAACAAGGTGCCGGTACTGAAAACCGTTGCACACCATTAGAAACAAAGCCCAGCAGGTAAAAATCTTCAGATGTATTGCCAAGGACCTTGTCAGTCATTCTCTCAAGGGAGAGTACTACCCGTCAAGGGAAAGTACTACCCGTCAAGGGAGAGTACTACCCGTCAAGGGAGAGTACTACCCGTCAAGGGAGAGTACTACCCGTCAAGGGAGAGTACTACCCGTCAAGGGAGAGTACTACCCGTCAAGGGACAGCACTAAATGAGACAGACCTTTAACACCAGCAATATCGATAATGGAAGCTACACAATTCAATAAACAGATAACATCGTGTTCTTGTCAGCCACAAGTGAAAACTTAATTGCATCCTAATGTTTCTTTTCTCTCCTCGTTCAACTAGTTTTTGCCTGTGTTGTGTGAGAGTTGTGTTGTGTGTGTGTGTGTGTGTGTGGTGTGTGTGCGTGCATGCGTGTTTGTGTGCGGGTGTGTGCGTGCGGGCGTGTGGGTGTGGGTGTGCGGGTGTGTGTGTGCGTGCGGGTGTGTGGGTGTGGTGTGCGGGTGTGTGGGTGGGTGTGTGTGCGTGTGTGTGCGGGCGTGCGTGTGTGTGTGTGTGTGGAAACATTTCAATTACTTTCTCAGTAAGTCCCAGAAACAAATAGTAGACATAAACGAAATACCACCATCATTTGTCATGTAACTGCGTTTTAATCTCTCCCCCCCCCCTTTTCCGCCTTCTCCGCCTCTTGCTAATCCGTGTTTATATTCTCTTGTCTTTTGATCTTTACTAGTCCTGGCTTGCCTTTTATTTGCACGAACCCTGTCCACGATTGTCATTTTTTACATAATCCGTTCTTATTTATTCACATCTTTCTTTTCTTCTTTCTGATTTTGTGTGTGTGTGTGTGTGAAACCGCGTCATCTATGTCCCACTTCCTTCTCTTGGTTAGCTCTAATTGTTTCACGTCCTTTTTCATGCCCAAACTTCAAGGATCTGTTTCTTGTTTTCAGGTTATCATGTTTACATTCATCCATTTCGAGTTGGGTGTCCGGGCCGGAAACCCGTGCCTCAACAGGAACGACCGACTGCGCATTACGGAAATGACGCCATTAGGGGAAGTGACGTTGTGCGCAAGTCCGCCTATGACCACATACATTAGCCAATCCAATGTGGTGACCTTCAACTTTAACACTAACGATCACGGGGATGCTCAGGGGTTCAAGGTTGCATTTAAAGGAGGTAAGTACACTGTTTTTTTTTCATATCTGTGCAACATAATGATAATAATAAAAGTGTAAATTTTTTTTTTTACTTAGAGTCATCAGGTATATGGCACTAGACTTCTATATTTGTTGACCAATTGACACTTCGACTGGTTACTTGTTTCTTGCTTTTCTAATAACATCCAAGCAGCTCGGTCCCACCCATTCGAGTCAACTGGGTAGCCTACCGTAGGCGAACTAATAACAACAATAATAATTTAAAAACCAAGAAACTGAGTCTGGATTATTATAGTAGAGACTAGCAAATAGAATAGAACAGAACAACAGAAACTGTCACTCCTTTAGTTCGTGAGTTCGCCATTATTTGCACCCACCCAACAACAACTTTGCTCTCACGAAGGACAAGGGCATTAACCTCGTGCTTCTTTACCGGATTCGTTTGGCTTATCTCACCCAATGCAGTCGGGTGGGTTGCTGGGTGCTGTGTCATATCTGATCCACTTCTCCAAGGTCATGGATACGAGAAAGGTACAACACACCCATGTTCACAAAAGCAAAGATCTTTCATGCCCATAGTTGTTTAACTAAAGTGGACCTCAAATTGTCTTAGCCCCTCTTCTCTATGGCTAGTGAAAGGATGTATAACAATGTAGTTGTATCCAGGTAACACAGTTGTTAATGTCAGACCACTGGGGTATTTCCACAGACTGGCCATGTCGCGCTGTCCTGAGATCTGACAGAGGCCAGCTGGCTTCCCCACAGTGGCCTGAACAATACTCACCTGGACTCAGCTGTGCCTGGACTATACAGGTGAGACTGGGAGAGGGGGAGTGACTGTGACAAGGGGAATGGCTGTGACACGTGGAGGGGCTGTGACAGGGATTGGCTGTGACAGGGGAAGTGGCTGTGACCAGGGGAGTGGCTGCGACAGAGGGAGTGGCTGAGACAGGGGAAGTGGCTGTGACACGTGGAGGGGCTGTGACAGGGAGAGGGGTTGTGTCAGGGGGAGTGACTGTGACAAGTGGAGTGGCTGTGACCATAGAGTGGCTGTGACAGGGAGAGGGGCTGTGAGTGCGCAACAGAGGGTGTGGTGAGTGAGAGAGAGAGACAGAGAGGGAGAGAGGCTGTCAGAGAGAGGGAGAAAACGTGTATGTGTGACAGTGATAGAGTAATGGCTGTGACAGAGTGAAAGAAAGAGAGAGTGTATGTGTGACAGAGGGTAGTGGCTGTGAGAGAGGGGGAGTGTGAGAGACAGAGACAGAGAGTGCGTGTATGTGAGAGAGAGAGAGAGACTGGGAAAGTACTGCAATGTATGAGAGAGTGTATTTTAGAGGGTCAGTGTGGTGTGACATCGAAAAGACTGTCTCTGAGAGATAGTGAGGAATGTTTGTGAGTGCGCATGAGAGTGTGTGTGTGTGTGAGTGAGAGAGATAGAGAGAGAGAGAGAGAGAGAGAGAGAAAAGTGTGTATGGGAAAGACGTGTGTGTGGGATAGTGTAGGTGTGGGAAAATGTAAAAGTGTGTAGGGGGGTGTAGTGGGAAAGAGGTGAGAAGTGTGGGAAAGAGAGTGTATGTGTAGGAAAGAGTGTGTAGGTGTGGGAAATAGTGTGTAGGTGTGGGAAAGGTGTGTAGGTGAGGGAAGAGTGTGCAGGTGTGGGAAAGAGTGTGAGAAAGAGAGTGTGGGAAAGAGTAGGTGTAGAGAAAGAGTGTGTAGGTGTGGAAGAGCAGGTGTGGGAAAAGAGTGTGAGGTGTGGGAAAGCAGGTGTTGGGAAATGAAGTGGTGTGGGAAAGAGTGGTAGGTGTGGAAAAAAAGGTGTGTATGGAAAGAGAGTGTATATAGAAAGCCAGTGTGTAGGTGTGAAAGAGGTGTAGGTGTGGGAAAGAGTGTGTAGGTGTGGTGAGAGTAGTGAGGGCCAGTGTGTGTGTGTGACTGAGGTGTGGAGAAAGAGGTGTAGGAGTGGGACTGTCTGTAGGTGTGTGACAGAGAGGGGTGGGAGAGATGTGTGTAGGTGTGGGAAAGAGTGTGTAGGTGTGGGAAAGAGTGTGTAGGTGTGGGAAAGAGTGTGTAGGTGTGGGAAAGAGTGTGTAGGTGTGGGAAAGAGTGTGTAGGTGTGGGAAAGAGTGTGTAGGTGTGGGAAAGAGTGTGTAGGTGTGGGCATGTGTGGGTGGGGAAAGCGTGTGTAGGTGTGGGAAAGAGTGTAGGTAGGTGTGGGAAAGAGTGTGTAGCAGGTGTGGGAAAAGAGCGGGGGAAAGAGTGTGTAGGTGTGGGAAAGAGTGTGCAGGTGTGGGAAAGAGTGTGTAGGTGTGGGAAAGAGTGTGTAGGTGTGGGAAAGAGTGTGTAGGTGTTGGAAAGAGTGTGTAGGTGTGGGAAAGAGTGTGTGTATATGTAAGAGATAACTATAGATGGTCATTGTCACATTACTTGAGCAGATGTTTGAGGCAATGTTCAAGGCTCGGGTAAAAATGTGGACATCTGACACTGTTAACATGGGAGAGGGAGACAGAGCACGAGTGAGAATGTCCCGAGTGCAGTGATATCACCATTCAATGCGGTCAGTCATAACTATATCACAGAATTACACAATTGCTCTTACCTCTTTGTGATGTCTCATAACAAGGGCCATAACTCTGCTCGTTCAACAGGCGCCAGAGAATGGAAAGATAACTCTCAAGTTCACCAACATTGACCTCGACGGTCAAGGTTTCGGCGCCTGCACTGATCTCCATGACTACCTGGATGTTTATGATGGACCCACTTCCGCTTCCCGGCGCCTGGCCAGGTAGTTTTTCTCGTTAGTGTTTACTGCAGAATGTAAGACTGAAGGAAAGACGATAGAAAGCTAGAGAGGCAGAGTGTGTGTGAGTGCGAGAGGGGATAATGACGAATCTCTGACACTAACACGATTGGGTGACATGGGAGTAAAGCATGGAGAAGCATGTCTATGCCTCCTTTGAGGCCGAGATAGGAAACATTATAACCAAACTCTCATAGGAACAATTAATAGAAGTACATTGGTGTTGCTGCTGAATCGGGGAGCTGAGCACGCATGGGAATGCCAATGTGCAGTATCGTCGACTGTGATAGAATAACATAACATACTGAGAGAGGAGATGGTTAGAGAGGGGGGATAACAACAGAGAGATCGTGTTTGTGTGAGTGACACAGAGAGAAAGAGAGAGAGTGTGTGTGTATGTGTGAGAGGTGTTAGGCAACAGGGAGAGAGTTAGAGTGAGGGGAACGACAGCAGAGAGAGTGAGCGTGACACAAAGAAATACAGTTAAAGGGAAAGTTAGACAGAATTAGAGAGAACAGAGAGAGAGAGAGAGAGAGAGAGAGAGAGAGAGAGAGAGAGAGAGCATATAAGTGACATATCTAGAGAATATATATATATATATGATATATATATATATATAAGATATAGAGAGGAGAGGAGAGGGAGAGGGAGAGAGGGGGGGAGGGAGAGAGACAGAAAGAGTTCAAGATGCAGAGATAGAGAGATAGAGATTGTCTGACATCATTAGCTAACCATCGAATACCTCCTCTGTCTAGATTCTGCAAGCATGAATCTCCCGCAGTCCTCCTCTCCACCAGCGACGCCCTTCTGGTCATCTTGAGGACAGATGCCTACATGCAACGAACCGGCTTCCACGCCAGCTACGACTTCATCCTCCCGACAACCATCGCCCCACCAACCACAACCACCACCAGAGCCACCATGGATGCAGCAGACTACGGCGACGTCAACGAGGGGCCTGAGTCGTTAAGTGCCCGGTTTGTTGAGCCCAGATACGAGAGAGAGGGCGCCAATCTCAACTACAGCAGAGATCAGCTGAATTTTGGTAGGTAATCGTGTGGGAAACAAGGAAAGTTCCAGAGCTATAAGAACAGCACTTATAATAAAATTCATTTTAAAAAAAAACCAGACTGAAATGGTTTGCTCATTCAACGACAATGATTCCAATGATACCAGCAATGAGAGTGTACAACATAAAAGTAGAAACACCAAGAGGTAGAGGACGACCAAGAGCAAGATGGATTGAAACAGTCACTGATATCCGGAGACTCCACAACAAAAGATAAGACAAGAAAGAATGGTGTTGCAATGGCTGTTATTGTTTGCTCAGTTTTAGGTATATTGACAAGCAGACAAGCCGTAAGTCAAATGGCAGACAGTCAATTTTGTTTGAAAAAGAGGCATATATAGAGAAAGATACAGACAGACATGCATACTGACTGAAAGATAGAAAGAAGAACGTTTATACATCTGCAAAGGTAGAAAGACAATTGAAGTGACAAACAGACAGACAGACAGACAGACAGACAGAGAGACAGACAGACAGACAGACAGACAGACAGACAGACAGACAGACAGACAGACAGACAGACAGACAGACAGACAGACAGACAGACACCACCTGACACCCTGTGTTGTGCCCACAGGTGTGGAGGGAGGAGAATTCTACCAGCCGCGACTGCCCACTAAGACAGGAGATGAAGACCTCCCCGCCACGTCGTACGGTGACCTTTCTTTGTGGATCGTCTTTCGTTTCCCTGCTTCTTTTGATTTCTTTCGTTCTTTCTCTTTCTTGGTACTGGTCGTCATCTGCCTTTCCTTTCAACAAGTGAGTTGTCTCTGTTCTGTCTGTCTTCTGTCGTCTGTCTCGTTCTGTTTCTTTCTTTCTCTTCTTTCTTGTCTTTCTTTCTTTCTTTCTTTCTTTCTTTCTTTTCTTTCTTTTCTTTCTTTCTTTCTTTCTTTCTTTCTTTCTTTCTTTTTTCTTTCTTTCTTTCTTTCTTTCTTTCTTTCTTTTCATTTTTCTTTCTTTCTGTCTTTCTTTCTTCTTTCTGTCTTTCTGTCTGTCTGTCTGTCTGTCTGTCTGTCTTTCTTTCTTTCTGTCTTTTTCTTTTCTTTCTTTCTTTTTTTCTTTTTTTCTTTCTTTCTTTTTCTTTCTTTCTTTCACTTTTTCCTTCTCTTTATTTCTCTTTCTCTCTTTCATTTCTTTCTCATTTCCTTTATTCCTATTCCCTTTCTCTTTGTTTCTCATTTTCGTTTTTTTTTCCCATTCACTAATGTGTATCTGTCTATCTGTCTGCTTGTCTCTCCCCCCCCCCCCCCCCTACACTCCTTCGGGCTTGTGTCTGTAGGTTTGCAGCTTGTCTATTTTTCTATCTGCATTACTACTTTACTTGTCTTCTGTTTGTGTTTCTGAGTGTCTTTCTGTCTATATTGCGTCTGTGTATGTATCTGTGTGTCTGTGTTACAGTCTGTGTATGTATCTGTGTGTCTGTGTTACAGTCTGTGTTACAGTCTGTGTATGTATCTGTGTGTCTGTGTTACAGTCTGTCTGTGTGTCTGTGTGTCTGTGTTACAGTCTGTGTATGTATCTGTGTGTCTGTGTTACAGTCTGTATCTGTGTGTCTGTGTTACAGTCTGTATCTGTGTGTCTGTGTTACAGTCTGTGTCTGTATCTGTGTGTCTGTGTTACAGTCTGTGTATGTATCTGTGTGTCTGTGTTACAGTCTGTGTCTGTATCTGTGTGTCTGTGTTACAGTCTGTGTCTGTGTCTGTGTGTCTGTGTTACAGTCTGTGTATGTATCTGTGTGTCTGTGTAGTCTGTATGTGTGTCTGTGTTACTGTGTGTCTGTCTGTGTGTCTGTGTACATCTGAATCTGTGTGTCTGTGTTACAGTCTGTGTGTCTGTGTTACAGTCTGTGTCTGTATCTGTGTGTGTGTGTTACAGTCTGTATCTGTGTGTCTGTGTTACAGTCTGTATCTGTGTGTCTGTGTTACAGTCTGTGTCTGTGTGTCTATGTTACAGTCTGTATCTGTGTGTCTGTGTTACAGTCTGTATCTGTGTGTCTGTGTTACAGTCTGTGTCTGTATCTGTGTGTCTGTGTTACAGTCTGTGTCTGTATCTGTGTGTCTGTGTTACAGTCTGTGTCTGTATCTGTGTGTCTGTGTATGTATGTGTGTGTCTGTGTTACAGTCTGTATCTGTGTGTCTGTGTTACAGTCTGTATCTGTGTGTCTGTGTTACAGTCTGTGTGTCTGTGTTACAGTCTGTGTCTGTATCTGTGTGTCTGTGTTACAGTCTGTATCTGTGTGTCTGTGTTACAGTCTGTATCTGTGTGTCTGTGTTACAGTCTGTGTCTGTGTGTCTGTGTTACAGTCTGTGTCTGTGTGTCTGTGTTACAGTCTGTGTCTGTGTTACAGTCTGTGTGTCTGTGTGTCTGTGTTACAGTCTGTTTAAATGAAACTTCTCTCTGTAATACTCTGTCTCTCTGTCTGCTTGCCTGAGTGGGAGTGGGGGGGGGGGCGGTAAAAATCTGACAACCTAGTTTTCACTGTATAAACGATAAGCGAGCGCAGTCGCCCTGTCTGGAGTGCAGTGCCCTGTCTGGAGTGGAGAAGAAAGCAAAGAAGAAAGAATCCTAAATGCTGAAGAGGTTTTTGTTTTGTTGTTGTTTGTAATATACAAATGTATGTCCTCTCTTATATGGTTGTGTTGTAACATACGAATGTCTGTCCTCTCTGATATGGTTTTTTTTTTTGTAACACACGAATGTTTGTCATCTCTTATATGGTTGTGTTGTAACATACGAATGTCTGTCCTCTCTGATATGGTTTTTTTTGTAACACACGAATGTTTGTCATCTCTGATATGGTTGTGTTGTAACATACGAATGTCTGTCCTCTCTGATATGGTTGTGTTGTAACATATGAATGTCTGTCCTCTCTGATATGGTTGTATCGTAACATATGAATGTCTGTCCTCTCTGATATGGTTGTTCTGTAACATACGAACGTCTGTCCTCTCTGATATGGTTATGTTCTAACATACGAATGTCTGTCCTCTCTGATATAGTTCTAACATACGAATGTCTGTCCTCTCTAAAATAGTTGGGTTGCTCTGTTCTAGATTGCGCATGGAGAAGAAGAAAGCTTTAGAGAAGTACTCTTGCAACAGGGAGGAGAGTGCTTCTCTGTACGACAAGGAGGCTTTTCCCGGATTGACTGACCACTTGTAAGTAGCAGATATTTCTGGGGACATTAGCATTGTGGTAACAAGAGTAACTATCTATGTATCTATGTATCTATCTATGTATCTATGTATCTATCTATGTATCTATCTATCTATCTATGTATCTATCTATGTATCTATCTATGTATCTATCTATGTATCTATCTATGTATTTATGTATCTATCTATCTATGTATCTATCTATGTATCTATCTATCTATGTATCTATCTATCTATCTATCTATCTATCCTATCTATCTATCTATCTATGTAGTCTATCTATCTATCTATCATCTATCTATCTATCTATCTATCTATCTATCTATCTATCTATCTATCTATCTATCTATCTATCTATCTATCTATCTATCTATCTATCTATCTATCTATCTATCTATCTATCTATCTATCTATCTATCTATCTATCTATCTATCTATCTATCTATCTATCTATCTATGTATCTATCTATCTATCTATCTATCTATCTATCTATCTATCTATCTATCTATCTATCTATCTGTCTGTCTGTCTGTCTGTCTGTCTGTCTGTCTGTCTGTCTGTCTGTCTGTCTGTCTGTCTGTCTGTCTGTCTGTCTGTCTGTCTGTCTGTCTGTCTGTCTGTCTGTCTGTCTGTCTGTCTGTCTGTCTGTCTGTCTGTCTGTCTGTCTGTCTGTCTGTCTGTCTGTCTGTCTGTCTGTCCGTCTGTCGGTCTGTCTGTCTGTCTGTCTGTCTGTCTGTCGTCTGTCTGTTCGTCCGTTCGTCCACCTAGATACCCACCCGTCTGTACTACTTACCTACCAGCCTACCTAATCATCTAATTGTCTGTCTATTTATCTATCTATCTGACTGACTAATGATGTATCTTTCTATCTGTCTATCAGTGTGTCTCTCTGTTCATCTAACTTTCTGCTTAGCTACATACCTGCTTGCCTGTCTGTCTGTTTAACCTGTTATCTGTTTGTCTTTCTGTCTGTTTAAGCACACATATCAATAGTTTCTGTTTGTGTCTGTCTGCCAGTAAACCACCAAGACAATTTGAAGATGACATGGACTGTTACAGGTAAGCACAGTTACCTTTCCTGTCACCTTCTCCTTCTTCTTCTTCTTCTCCTTCTTCTTCTTCTTCTTCTTCTTCTTCTTCTTCTTCTTCTTCTTCTTCTTCTTCACTTCCTATTTTACCTCTTCGGGTGCTGAGGCAATTATAAGGTTGTACTACTGTGCTCTTCTGACCGCCTCGATCATAGACACATCGTGCTCTGTAGAATTTCTCTGATAGTATCTTTCTATATTGTTCTTGGCCTAACTTGTCCTCTACATAGTGTTCTTGGTCTATCTTCTCCTCTACATAGTGTTCTTGTCGGCGTCTGTGGCTTAGGCATTGCGAACGCGCTTCGTAATGCCGGGGTGCCGGGTTCGATCCCAGCTGCGGGCTTTGCGCCTTGCTTTGGTTTTGACAGTGGTATCGAGAAGCCGACCATCCCGAAAGCAATGGCAAACTACTCGACGTAAAATTGCCTAGAAAAACCACAGCAGCCAAAAAATACTGGGACTGGTTCTGCAACGTCCTGTAAAGCATACGAAACTAACTTTAGTTGTCATCTTTTATGAGAGCAGAGAGAGAGAGAGAGAGTGAGAGAGAGAGAGAGAGAGAGAGAGAGAGAGAGAAAGAGAGAGTAAAATGGTAAAATGTGCGTGGACTGTGGTGTGTTAACGTGTGAGTGTGTTTATTTGTTGGAGTGTGTATGTTTGCATGTGTGCTATACATATAAATGCAGATGTAAAAGGGCGAATAGAAGCGAATGTGGATGGAGCAGATGATGTGGAA